GCCTGGTCAGGATCGAACTCCTGGCATTGAGCTGAATTAGCCTGCAATGCTGCATTCTCACTACTGCGCCACCACGTTATTAACCTTGGAATTCATACCAACTTTGGAGTTGATAAGGTGCATTAACTCCAAGGTTAACATCAGACCAACATCAGGCCAACCACCAATACCGCAATGAGACCAATCAACATCAGACAATCAACACCAGACGAACCATCAATACCGCAATCAAGAAACTGCCAAAGAAGCTAACAGAAAACAGCCCAACCAAGGAATCTCTAATACTACCGTCACCAACACTGAAATATAAACTGACAGCAAACCCCACTCTTTACTAGCACTGATGTTGTTACCTAGTTTGGGTAATAAAACATCTGTAAGAAAACAAGCAAGCTCAGAGAGCATCAAGAGCCTCTCATGTCAAACCTGAGCTCCAAATATTCTCCTTCATTAGAGACAACGTAGCTTGGAAGATTGAAGTCTCTAGATGAGCAATAAGAGACGAATTAGAAGCATCTCCTCCCGTGGTGTTATTGTTGGCTTCTTGGCTGGATAGCAACCTTGCCCGACTTGGGCACTTACCTGCATAGCTGTTCAATGTACTCTGCCAGGGATGGGGCACGAAGGCCCTTATGACTCGTGGACTTCAACTCCCAGAATTCCTGAGCTACCCCATGTTGGCTCAGGAATTCTGGGAGTCGAAGTCCCCAAGTCGTAAGAGCCACGATAGCGCAGTGGTTGGAATGCAGTACTGCAGGCTACTTCTGCTGACTGCTGGCTGACTGCAGTTCAGCAGTTCGAATCTCACCGGCTCAGGGTTGACTCAGCCTTCCATCCTTCCGAGGTGGGTAAAATGAGGACCCAGATTGTTAGGGGCGATATGCTGACTCTGTAAAGCGCTTAGAGAGGGCCGTAAAGCACTGTGAAGCGGTATATATAAGTGCTATTTTTTATTGCTATAGGCCCCTACCTCTCTGCTAGGAGATGCTCCGCCTTCAACCTCTTCCTGCATCTCAAAGGTCCCAAAGCGACATTGCTCTCTGTGAAAGAGCCTCTCCCCCACACCCCGTCCCACGACCCTGGACTACATGCTGTCACACAGGCACAGATCAACGCACCTCATAGAGCTATATTTTGATAGACCCGAAGCCCGCTCAAAAACAGCTCTTCCCATGTAGATCCATGCTCTGAACATTCTGCCCATCTCTACGATGGGCCTAGAGTTAAAACCAGAGGAAGCAACATTGCAGCATGGCTCAAACGAATCTTTGTAGGAAAATTGCTGTAAGATGTTGGCAGCCGTGGAAGCGAACCACAAGAAAAAAAGTTCCCTTGTGCAGTTTCTCAAACGATTCAACTTCTGTCGTTCAGGCAGATGGTTTGTCTTGCTGCCACCACCAAAAAAGGCTGTGCTGCTTGGATCCAGCCATGACACCCCTCCCGCAAGTCTCAAAGAGGTGTGAGTGCTGCTAAACTGTCTGTGAGGTTAAGTTCGCGATCCCCACACAGTAGGCAGCCTAGAATGATGGGTGTTGTGATCTGCCGGTGGCCAGCGGAGCTGGCAGCAGACTCAGACAGAGAGGAGGTTGGGGAGGACGATGGGCCAGTCCTGGAGTCTGGGGAAGGCTCTGCTGAGTGTCGGAGGCAGAGAGAGGGCCAGAACCGTATGCCAGTTATCAGCTGCCTTTGGAGTCAGACAGCAGTGAGGCAGACGAACAGCTGGAGCCTGTTCCCTGTGTGTGCATGCACAGTTGCCAGACGAAGGGAACAGCTAAAGAACAGGAGTTGACCTGGGAGTAAGGCCACAGGTGGACGATGAATGGCCCCTCCCAGNTCCCCTCCCGCTGTAGACTAGGCTTGTGCACGACCCTGCCTTTTGTACGCTTCCAGGAAAGCTGTCACTCAAAAGACCCATCTGTAATTCCATGCTTTTAGTATAGGAGATTAATCAGTTAACTATCCGAGAAGACATACAAAAATGAAATTACAGAGAAAGAGAGGGGGGGGGGACACAACCAAAATACAAAGAGCAAAAGCTGCATGTAACTCATTGGATTTCCCTTAAAACATGCATGGACTGGCACCGTTTAAACAAGAAACGCCGTGGGAAAGCAGACTGCGGCTCTGGACGCTAAAGCTGAATTCTCGGCAACGAAGCTCGCTTGCCCGCTAGCTTGTGCAGCCCGGTTCCGAAGAGGTTGCTGCCCAGGAGTTGGCCACACAACCCATTGGGGAGGTGGTTGGGGGGACTCCTAAATCGATTCACACCTCTCTTCTCCAATTCACGGTGCCTCACCTGAGCGGATTCCTATGATGGGGGGAGGAGCTGCTTAAACACAGGATTACTACTCTACTTTTCCCATTAAACCCACTTTTCTACACATCTATCCAAAGTTCATCAACAACAACAGGGCTGGGCCCCGAGACAGGATCGACCGTTTGTTTCAAACCCAGAACCGGCCATCTTGTTTCAGAAGTTCTGCCAAACTCAGCCACAGTCCCGCAGTAACAAGCTCTTAAGGGCTTCGGCTGCATGGTTTGGGGGCGAAGCAAAATCTGGATAAGGACACGCTTGAGCACGTCTGATTCACGTCGCTCCTTCTCCGTGTGGCGTACCTCACCAGCTCCAGCTTGCAACGTCTTTCTTTCCTTGCCACCGATGTCCTCAGGCGATGCCTCCCACTGTCCACCCTGCTTTCTTCCCCACCTCGCCGGGCCATCCTCCTCCTCCCCATTCAACCGCTTCCATTTGGACCAAGTCCTTTCAGGAGGGACAAAATGGCCCCCTTTTGTTCCAGCTGTGCTGTGGTGGAATGTAGTTCAGAGTCACAGGTTGATGGGGTTCTTGCATGGAGTAAAGAGACAACATGAGGGGGGGGGGGNGGAAATAAAAGAGGAGCAAAAGGGAAGTGGAGTTTGCAGGAGACAATTAGTTCTCTTAATTGGTTTGTGACTCTCCGAGACTCCTTGCCAAGTTCTGCAGATAATTGGCCTGTCAGCTCTCCAAGCCAGATAAGGTCTGTACTGTAAATCCTCCCTTGAAAAACTTTGCTGAATATGAATGAGCAGAATTCACAGTAAATTAATAAAAGGGGTTTTTGTCCGGACAGGGAGTTTGCTTCATGCTCTTGGGAAGCCTTGGTCAGAACAATGGGTGGGAAACACAGCCAGGAGAAACCCCAGAAAGGAATGGTCCATTTGGCCTGTTCCGAGTCATTGGTTTGGCAACAGTAGTCCCAAAATGTTTTCAAAGTCAGCCTGGAGGAAGAGGAAACGAACGAGGAGAACTAGATCCAGGGAGGCTAAAGCAGGGACGGCCAATCTTTCGGGGTCCAGCAGTCACATTTTGGAATGGTTGCAATGCATTGTGGGCCCCTATTGCAAAACATCAGTCCGAGGATGCGCCATCCCTTCCAAAGAAGGCCTTACTGGCAATTCTGCATTTAGATTATTTAGGAGAGACTAGAGTTCAAATCTACCCTCCAGCACAAAACCCTCCAGCTGATTTTCATCACACCAGTTTCTTGGGTACCTGCATGTTGATGCCACATACAATTAAGCCAGGGCTGAGATTTACTACACTAGGACACAGCTACAGGTGTCTCCCTCTCCCCCACGTCCTCCTCCCCTCTGTGGATTCTTATGACAATAGAGCAATGTTTGGGATTAGACCAGAAGGGAAAGATTCGAGTTCAAATCCACCTTCCGTTGTGGAAATCTTATGGTTGATTTTGAGCTGTTTAGCTTGCAAAATTTTGCTGGGGAGATAAGCTCCCCGTCAGGGAGGCTCCAGGATGAAAGGCAGGATATAACTCTTAATTAAAAAAAACAAACAGTAAAAACGAATTGGGAACACCCACAAAATTATCCCCCTCCACTCCGGCAATCTTGACTGTTGTTGCATTTGCTGCAGGAGAGAGAGTAAATGTGACTTGGCAAACAGATTCTGCTTGCTGGAATCCGTGTCGTCTTCTTGAAATTCCGTGCCTGGAAGACTTGGTGGTACTGAGCCGTGGTGGCGCAGTGATTAGAATGCAGTACTGCCGGCTACGTCTGCTAATTGCCAGCTGACAACAGTTCGATTCTCATCAGCTCACCAGCCTCCCATCCTTCCGAGGTCGGTAAAATGAGGATCTGGATTATTGGGGGCAATAGGCCGAGTCTATAAACTGCTTAGAGAGGGCTGTAAAGCACTGAGAAGCGGCACATTACTTAAGGACTCTCAAAACTGGAGAGTCAAGCATTTCGGTTAGTAAGCTGAGGGAGACTTGGTGGCCAAGGATCAGAAGATATTTATAGAAATAGGTCAGACAACGTTGATGATGATGAGCTATTCTTAAAATCATAGAGCTTTAAAAGTTCAATTTGATACGAACCCACAAGGGATCTTGATATGATATGGATGAGCAATCTTAAATTCCTAGCAACATCCTCTTTTAACCCCATAATCCCTTGCAAAGGTGGTGTCTGGGCAAGTGAATGGCACTAGCAGGGTTTAATGGCCTGATGCACTTCCTGTTGCCATTGCGGAGTTTTGTTCAGCAGAGAGAGAAATATCTGCCTCTATCTAGGATCGAACTCACAGTCTCCCGATTGAGAGGTGAGAGCTCCACCTTTAGGCCACTGCACCACTCCTCCTAAATTCTAGCATATTCCTAGAGGGGATCCTTGAATCGTCATCTCCAACTGAAAGACTTCTGCAAAACTCCAGGCATTTCTACAGAACCTCTTGCGTCTCTGGTCCTCATCGAGAAGCGAGATCACTGCACAGAATAACACGCTTTCTTTCTCGCTCCAAGAATTCAAATTAGGGTCCGACGATCGCTTAGATGTAGGGCAAGCTGAGAATTCAAATCCAGTTCCCAGTTCTGAGAAGCGAGGCTGGCAAAAGATGCCATCGGAAACACTGGACAACCACAATGGGCCAACACACCCCAAAAAAAAATCAATCACATATATGTATATATAAATAAATTCATATCTAATGCAAAGAAATGGAGTCCGTGTTGTACACAAACCTCTTTCCACAATGATTTCTATAGTTTTTCCTCCCCAAAATCCTTCCACAATAAGGGCTCCTTCATCCTTCCGTCCCCTCCAAAAAAAATTCCAAAACCAGAGTAATTTTCATACTCCTAGCATTTAAATCCATCTTCACCTGCATGGATTCTTTGATGTAAAGTAAGGGAATATGCCCAACAGAAGCTCTTTCCACATTCCAAGCATTTAAATGGCTTCTCCCCGGTGTGAATTCTTTGATGGCAGCTGAGGTATTTGCTGGTGCTAAAGCTCTTCCCGCACACCAGGCATTTATAAGCTTTATCCACAATATGGATCCGCTGGTGGCAAGTCAGGTACCTGTTGGTGCTAAAGTTCTTCCCACACACCAAACATTTGTACGGCTTCTCGCCGGTATGGATCCGCTGGTGCGAGGTAAGGCTTGTGCCTCGGCTGAAACTCTTCCCGCACTCCATGCATTTGAAGGGCTTCTCCCCCGTGTGTGTGATCTGGTGCAAGGTGAGGGAGTTAGCCCAGCAGAAGGTCTGTCCGCACTCCAGACATTTGTAAGGCTTCTCTCCGGTGTGGATCCTCTGATGGGACAGGATGTATTTACTTGTTGTGAAGCTCTTTCCGCACTCCAGGCATTTGTACGGCTTCTCTCCCATGTGGATGGTCTGGTGGGAAATAAGGCTCGTGCGTCTCCGGAAGGTCTTCCCACACTCCAGGCATTTGAAGGGTTCTTCCCCCGTGTGGATCCGGCGATGCGAAGTCAGGCACTGGCGCGTAATGAAACCTTTCCCACAGTCCGAACACTGGAAGGGCTCCTCCCCGCGGTGAAGGCGCTGGTGGTAACTGAGGCTGGTGCTGTGGACGAAGCGCTTGCCACACTCGGCACACTTATACGGTTTCTCTCCTGTGTGGATCCTCTGGTGGGAGATGAGGTACTGGCGGGTACTGAAGTTCTTCCCGCACTCCAAGCAGCCGTGCGGCTTCACGCCGGTGTGACTGCGCTGGTGGTAGGTCAGGCTTGTCCTGTGGCTGAACCTCTTGCCGCACTCGGGACACTTGTAGGGCTTCACGCCGGTGTGGTGCTGCCGGTGGTAAGTGAGGCTGGTGTTGTGGATAAACCTCTTGCCACACTCCAAACATTTGTATGGCTTCTCCCCAGTGTGGATCCTCTGGTGGGAAGAAAGGCTGGTGCTCCGGCTGAAACTTTTCCCGCACACCAGGCACTTGAATGGCTTCTCTCCCGTGTGTACGATCTGGTGCAAGGTCAGGGAATTGGCCCAGCAGAAGGTCTCCCCGCACTCCAAACACTTAAAGGGCTTCTCCCCGGTGTGGATTCTCTGGTGGCAGGAGAGGTATTGCCTGGTGCTGAAGCTCTTCCCGCACTTGGCGCACTTGAAGGGCTTCTCCCCGGTATGGACCCGCCGGTGGCAGCCCAAGTACTGCCTGGTGCTGAAGCTCTTCCCGCACTTGGCGCACTTGAAGGGCTTCTCCCCGGTATGGACCCGCCGGTGGCAGCCCAAGTACTGCCTGGTGCTGAAGCTCTTCCCACATTCCAAGCATTTGTAGGGCTTCTTGGTGGTGTGGCTCTCCCAGTGAGCAATCAGGCTCGACTGGCAGTCGAAGGCTTTGCCGCACAGAAGGCATTGGCTCCATTCGATCCCGTCTTCTATTTTTTCGCGGACCGGAAGCTCGTAGAATTCGGTGTTGTAAGAACACGGAGATTCATCCTTCACTCTGCCGGCTTCGGTGTCTGGTCTCTGCTTGTCCTCCTCTTCGCTTCCAATTTTCCCAAACAATATCTCATGGATTTCTCCGTTTTCACTCTCTGGCCAGTCACATCCTGGCAGGAGGGAAAAACAAAAAGATTTTGGGTAAATTATAAAATGAAGTCTGGCATTCTACATTCCATTCCATTCCATCCATCCATCCATCCACCCACCAACCCACCCACCTCTACCTACCTACCAATCTAATCTAATCTACCATGTCTGTCAATCTAATCTCTCTCATATCCATCCATCCATCCATCCATCCATCCATCCATCTCTATCTACCTCTCTACCGACTTACCAATCTAATCTAATCTCATCTATATATATCTGTCAATCTAATCTCTCTCTCTCTCTCTATTGTATCCATCCATCCATCTATCATCTACCTACCTACCAATCTAATCTAATCTACCATGTCTGTCAATCTAATCTCTCTTTCTATCCTATCCTATCCTATCCTATCCTATCCTATCCTATCCTATCCATCCATCTCTCTACCTACCTACCATTCTAATCTAATCTAATCTATCATGTCTGTCAATCTAATCTCTCTCTCTCTATCATATCCATCCATCCATCCATCCATCCATCCATCCATCCATCCATCCATCCATCCATCCATCTAGAAAAACAATAGTACTAACAAACTTCAATAGGCAACCTTTGACTTACGATTATAATTAAGATCAGAATTGTTAAGTGAGTCATGCCCAACTTTACAACTCTTCTTCTTCTTCATTGTAACAATTACACTGCAGTTGTTAAGTGAATCGGATGGTTATTAAATGAATCTACCCCTCTCAGGGCATGCGTACCATTGTTTTTCTAGA